TTATATATATTATATGTATATATAACCTATTAATATATATATATATATATATATACTATATATATATATATATATATATATGTAATTATGAAAATATATATATAACTATATATATATTTATATATTTATGGGTGTGTGTATGTATGTATGTATGTACTCCGGCATGTATGAGCATTTGATATCCGCTATTGCTAGCATCTAAATTGGTACTATTGTGTCGAATCTGTTATCTTTTCAATTTAATTCTTATTTAGAAACTCTTCGTCTATAGTCATGGAGTACACGAAGAGAGAATGTGCTTAATATTAGCCAAAGAGAGTTCACGCGCTATAGTTTAGATCCTGACTTACAAATACGAGTATTTGAAGAAAAGTTCTCAGAAGAGGTTGCTGACTTTATCAAATTTAATTATGCTGAAAACTGCAAAGTTTGCTGCACTGTATGTATCCAAAAGTTTGAACTCTGGCTCGAAGGCCAACGGTTCCATATCATCGCGTGATATGCTATACAAAAATACTTTGGAACATTGCTCTGTTTTTACTATGAACTTCAAGACTTGCTGCAAAGCGTCATATCATCGCGGAATATATCACGCATAAATACATTGCAATAGTTCTTCTGTCTGGTGTCTAGATACACCTTAAGTACTTGGCCAGCTCAGCTAAAGCCAGACATGGCGCACACCTATAGCGAATATACCGGGTTAGTATTGATGGACGAGTGCCTATCTACGTGTCCAGCACTGGCATGGACATGGGCGTACCTCAACGCTCAGAAGGCTAGACATCACGTTTCTGTTGCTAGTAGTTCTACGATAATTTCTGCTCAGAATGCCTACATTGCTTCTAAGCTTGCTAGCTGTCAGAATTCAGTTTCACTGTTTGCTAGTTGTTAAGCGGAGAAAAGCGCGTGTAGTTCCCCATCGCAGCCAAGATGAGAAACATGCACAATTTCACGTCAGATTTGTATTGTAGCAAAGACTGATGTAGACCTGTCTAGAACTCCGTAGTCACCGCTGCGCAGTAATCTGGCACTCGCTTGTCCTTTAACTTATAGGCCGACGTGCCACTGGGCATGCTTTTCAGTTCAAAGTATCTTTGCATAAGCTTTTCAATACCAACCTTTGACCTCTTTGGGCTGACCTCATCAGTGGCGGTATCAGTCTTGCCAACAAGCTGCTTCACTTCTCGCAGTATGCCATTCGCAACGTACGATCGCACAGCATGTACAAGTATAGGCGAATACATATCTTCTGGCCCTTCGGAAACCTCGCTCAATGCAACCACCTTACTTTCATCATACTCAGTTCCGCTCAGCACCACATTCTCCATCTCTTTCACACTCAGATGCAACGCCAAGATTACCTGCACATCTGCAGTACCATTGGTAGCTGGCAGCTGTTCCCGCCTATCCCATACCAACGTTGCAGCACACACGTGCTCAAATCTGGCGTGATGTATATCCAATCCAAACTCACATTTCATCAAACGCGCCCCACTTTTTCCAGGAGATTCTCCAGGTTTCATCCGACCCCCTCCCATCCAGAAGTCTGGTTGTGGTTGAACATTGCGTTTACCTAGAAGCAGCTTGTTCTCGGGTGTGATTAGCAGTATGTCTGTACAGGCTTTGACCATATTGTCCAGCATGAGTGCGTATGAATGATCGTCTACAAAGGTGTGATGGGGAGTGTATTCGCCAACCTGAAAATGGGGTAGAATGCCAAGGTCATTGTTCAGTTCTTCCCTATTAAGCCCTTGCTTCGCATCCATGCTGTCAGAGATCATGATGCCGTGTGGTATATTCCTCTTACTAATGAACCACAGACGTGTGTTTTCTACTAAATTATACATTATAAAAAAAAGCCATTCACATATAGTTCTTCATAGCCTTCTAAATTGAACAAGTTCTTTCATCACGAGAAATGTTTGTTTACTTTTCTCAGATTCTGAAATACAGCTTGGGTTGTGTAAAACGAAAATCCTAAAATAAAACTCTATTTACACATATGTAGTGAAAAAGCGATATTCTTCAAAAAAAACCCCCCATATTTTGCGACTTTTGGTTTTTAGTTTATAATCCAGAAATGCCGTTGTCGAAACAAAGCCGGGGTTTTTTGGTGAGCCGTACATTTGTTTGTTGAAATAACTGAACTGCTCAGTATTTCAATAAAAAGGGGGCAATGAACTCAAACATAGCCTACTCCTGAATCCAGAATCAAAGGCTACATATGATGAACAGCTACGTACTACAGTAAAATCCGTGTAAATTTCAACAAACCAATAGAAGTTTTAGAAAAAATTGATAGCTGCGATTATTGGATGATAAAATTAATTTACAAAACCTGTGTGTGTGTGTAAGGTTAGTAGGAAACAGAGAAGCAGAGAAACAGCAACAGAAAATAACACCGGTGACAACATGACAGGTGTGAATCTTTAATTATTTTGGTCATGTAAAAGAAAATCGCTTATATTATACCTTTTATTGTTTCTTCACGTCGTTGCAACCCTCTCCTACATAATCATTCACGATTGTGAATACGCGAGCAGCATACGCTACATATTTAAAATGGTGTTTCTATGACAAAACAAACATATTCCTGTACGTGACTCAAACATTGAGTGTTGACATGATGGCTTCGAAGCCATCATGCCAACACTCATACATTCCGACGACCTCAAACACAGACCAGGATCAGGTGTGTATAGCAAAGTATCTGCAGCCATTTCGCCTATAACAACTGTAGTCTTGCTGTAGGTTTAATTTTAAGATATTTTACATGAGCTAGCTATAGATGTATATATA